TATCTTTCCTTTTCTCCTTTGCTTTTCGCTTCTCTTCTTTTCACAGCTATTTGTAAGGCCTCGTCAGACAGCCATTTTGCTTTTTTGCATTTCTTTTTCCTGGGGATGGTCTTGATCCCTGTCTCCTGTACAATGTCATGAGCCTCCGTCCATAGTTCATCAGGCACTCTATCAGATCTAATCCCTTGAATCTATTTCTCACTTCCACTGTATAACTGTAAGGGACTTGATTTAGGTCATACCTGGATGGCCTAGTGGTTTTCCCTACTTTCTTCAACTTAAGTCTGAATTGGCAATAAGGAGTTCATGATCTGAGCCACAGTCAGCTCCTGGTCTTGTTTTTGCTGACTGTATAGAGCTTCTCTATCTTTAGCTGCAAAGAATATAATCAATCTGATTTCGGTGTCGACCATCTGGTGATGTCCATGTGTAGAGTCTTCTCTTGTGTTGTTGGAAGAGGGTGTGTGCTATGATCAGTGCGTTCTCTTGGCAAAACTCTATCAGCCTTTGCCCTGCTTCATTCTGTACTCCAAGGCCAAATTTGCCTGTTACTCCAGGTGCTTCCTGACTTCCTGCTTCCTACTCATGCCGCCACTCCCAGGCTGGCACACACGAAGGTCAGGGATCACAGACACGGCTGCTCCCGCGGTGTAACATGACAGCCCCAGCGGCTGGCTGCCCAGACCCAGAGGTGAGCACGGTCACAAACACAGGTACCGTAAGGTGGCCCACGGGCCCCGGCAGCCACACAGACTGAATGTTTGTGTCCCCCTAAAATTCCTGTTGGACTCCCCTGGTGGCTCAGCGGATAAGGATCCAGCTGCCAACGCAGGGGACATGGGTTTGATCCCTGCTCGGGGAGAACTCCACATGCTGTGGAGCAGCTAAGCCCACAGGCCCCAAGTACTGAACCCCGCTAGCCCTAGAGCCTGTGGTCCACAAGAGAAGCCCCGGCAATGAGGAGCCCGCACACCACAGCTAGGGACTAACCCCTGCTCGCTGCAACTAGAGAAGAGCCTGAGCAAAGCAACGGACACCCAGCACAGCCAAAACTAGCTAAATAAATAAAAGTTTAAAAAAGAACACAATCAGTTCCTGTGTTGAAGCTCTAAACCCCAAGGTGATGGCATTAGGAGGTGGGCCTGGGGGGGACGTGATGAATCATGATGGTAGAGCCCTCAGGAATGGGATTAGTGACTTATAAAAAATGGACCCCAGAGATCTCACTCACCCCTTCCAGAAGACTGAACTTGTGGTTATGAAACAGGAAGTGGGGCTCTCACAGACATCGGATCTGTTAACACCTTGCACTTGGACTTCAGAACTTGAGAAGTGTCTGTGGTTTCTAAGCCACTCAGCCATTGGTATTCCGTTTGAATGGACTAAGACAACGCTGACATGGCCCATAGACTTCCATGAGGCCACAGCCCCTTGAGAGGTGAGGAGGCCTCACCCTCCTCTGGGGTACAGACTAGGCTAGGAGGGGTGAGACCTCTTATGATGCACCCCTGCCCCCCGGCGGCTAGTCCCAGTGTCACAGGTAGGACAAGGACACAGGTAGTGTCACAGGGTATCCTCTCGATACCCAGAGGAGCTGACAGTCACAAACCCCAGCCAGGCAGCAAACGGGATGGCCACACACACACCAATGACCTTATAAGCCCTGACACTCAACCGTCTCAGCCACACACGTCCAGGCAGGCACTCTCAGTGAGTCACAGGGGTGAGTCACATTACAAGCCCAGGGGTGGGAACACCCACATGCATATCTCAATGGCCACCAGCATCTGAGAAACACACAGTCGCGCAAAAGTCACCAGTCAGGTGTGAAAATGGGAACTGACAAGTTAAAATGCAGTTGGGGAACTTCCCTGGAGGTCCAGTGGTTAAACTCTGTGCTTCCATTGCAGGGGACATGGGTTCAATGTTCAGTTCCTGGTCGGGGGGACTGAGATCCCACAACCTCATGGCAATGTCAAAAAATACAACAAGAAAAACAGAACAAAATCACATGCAGTCCCCAGAGCAGGGACACAGCTGTTGAACATCCAGACATGCACGGGGACCCAGTCCCAAAGCCAGGCACTCTCAGATTGGCACATCAACCCACACCATCACAGGTGCCCTCTCTCCCTCATAACCTCTGCTTGCACACATGCACAGGTCACACATGCACCCCCGTGAGCACTCACTGATGTGAATGCGTGTACAATGCGGTGTCAGTGAATCCTTGCACAATACACGCAGGCCCATACAGGCACACGTGTACGCACGAGACACGGATGCTCGCACACACATGCATGTAGACGCAGGACACACACACACACTGGTACATACTCACTGAGACTTGAAAGTCTGCACACTAGTGTGCACGCACACAGGTGGGTGGACACACAGGCCTTCCCACCCTAAGATGCGCACAGTAAGACACCAATGTGCACACACTTGGTTTAAACTCCACAGTCCCTAGAGCTCACTGTCCAGCTGGCGGCTGCCCCTCCTGCCCTGCCCCTACCCCACCACCCGCGCCCCCAGGTACTCACAGCAGGGGTCCATGGATACCATCCTGGATACTCATCACCAGCCGTGGAGGAGCCACGTCATGGCACAGGTAGTGGTTGGAGTCGGCAGTCAGGCGAAAGTAACCATCCACCAGCGACACCAAGGACAGGGCCGCAGCCCGGGAAGGCAGGGTCAGCTCCTGCAGGCCGGGGGCGAGGGTGGGGGGTCATCAAGCACGCATCACAGGCCGGAGGCATCTGCCCCCCTCAGCCCGGCTCCACAGCCCCAGGCCCCACCAGGCACTTGTTGTCCTGACAATGGATGCTGACGTGGCGTTCCTTCAGCACCATGTGGGTGATGTCCTGGAAGTCGCAAAAGTAGGACCAGGGGGTCTCCCGAGGCCTGTCCACTGGCTCGCTGCCCGCCTTCTGGGCCTTCATTTTCTTCCCAGATGGGCCAGCATCAGGCATCCTGCTGCCGCCACCACCACCACCATCACCAGGCCCCTGGAAGCCAGCATGTGGGGCAGGTGAATAGAGCAAGGTTATGCCTGTTCAGTCCTCCTGCCCTTCCCTCCCTGCGGAGAGGCAGAGCCGGGAGGAACAGGTTACCTATTCAGGCACCTACCCATGAGTGCAGTGTCACAGGCTGGACGGGGGACCCATCCAGAGAGATACAGTCACCAGAAGATGGAACTTTGGGGAGGGCAGAAAGGGGGCTCCTAGCCCTCTTGGCCCCAGAGGTTAAAGGTGTTCTCTAGAAGCAGAGACCCTAGCCATCAGCTCCCCGGGGAGTGGGGGGCAGGCAGAGGACTTATCACCATGGGGGTTGAAACAGCTGCTGTCCCTCTATTGAAGGCCAAGCTGAAGGAAATGGGCTTGGCCTGGAGCTGATCCAGGCTGACCAGGTAACCAAGTATGTGGCATAGACTTTTAATTCCACGGCAGACTAGGAGAATGTCATATTATTGGAAGGGATCCGGAACCAACATGCATTGGAAATGCTTAGGCAGAACATTAAGGCTGAACTTAATTCTTGATTGCAGGTCTTATTAGAGCCTTTAAGACACTATCCAAGAAACAGACCCCCAGCACAGACAAACATATCCCAGAGCCATGTAGGGAAAACCACCTTTGCCATAGCCACCTTCCGAGGCCAAAGTCAAGGCTGAGCAGGAGCCCACACCCTCCACTGTTAGATAGTAGAGGCACCCCACTCACCTCCGCCCGTACCAGCCGCCACCGGATGCCTTCTGTGCCTGACACCAGCACCTCGTGGGTGGGGGATCCGGCAGCAGACTCAGACCCGTGTTCGGGAGGGGCCTGCCCACCGTCCCGGATGTAGCAGGGCTCCCCTTCGGCCTGGGACAGCAGCTCCAGGTGGCACACGGGCACACGCTCTGTGCCAAAGCGGGGCGCCAGTCGCTCGAGCGTGGCCAGGTACTTCACCATAACGACCTGCTGGGAGAGGCAGCCCGGCTGGAAGGCCCGTAGGAACTTGCGGAAGATGCTCCGTTGGCGCAGCCGTGTCAGAGCATTGTGCTGCTGGATCTGCCGCCGGAAAGAGCGTGGGATACAGTCCTTGAAGCTGTGGGGATGACCAAGAGGGGCAGTTCAGGGGCCCCGGCTGGGCGATAATGGGAAAGTGGTTTAACCTCTCTGAACCTCAGCTGCCTCATCTAGAAAACAGGCAACCTAAATGCCATCGACAGATGAGCAGATAAAGATGTGGTGTACATATATAATGGAATACTATGCAGCCATGAAAAAGAACGAAATCATGTCAGCGGCAGCAACACGGATGCAACTAGAAATTGTCATACTGAGTGAAGTAAGTCAGAAGGAGAAAGACAAATACCATATGATACCACTTATATGTGGAATCTAAAACCCAACAGGGACTTCCCTGTTGGTACAGTTGATAAGACTCTGTATTCCCAATGCAGGGGGCCTGAGTTTGATCCCTGGTTGGAGAACTAAGATCCCACAACTAAGCTTGTGTGCCACAACTACTGAGCCCCATGCATTCTAGAAACTATGTACCACAACTAGAAAAGCCTGCACAACACAATAAAGAAAACAGTGCAGCCAGAAATTTTAAAAATTAATAATTAAAAATAAAATATGACACAAATGACCTTCTCCACCAAATAGAAGCAGAATTATGGACATAGAGAACAGACTGGTGATTGCCAAGGGGGAGGGAGTTGGGGGAGGGATGGAGTGGGAGGTTGGGGTTAGCAGATGTAAGCTTCAGTATGGATAGACAACAAGATCCTACTGTATTACACAGAGAACCATATTCAATATCTTGTGATAAACTATAATTGAAAAGAATATTTAAATATATATATATATAACTGAATCACCTTGCCGTATAGCAGAAATTAACACATTATAAATCAACTGTACTTCAACCAAAATATATTCAGCTGAAAAACATTAAAATTGAATAAAAGTACAAACAATAAAAAAAAAAAGCAGGCAGGCTGTCATGAAGGTGGAAAGAGAATGTGATAAAGGGAGAGCATAGCAAGGCCAAATGGTGTCAGGACCAAGGCCCAGGGCTCTGGAGGGGACTACGTGGCTGAAATTCCAGATGTTGGGTGAATTCCTTAAGCTCTAAAGAGCTTCGTCTTTTCATCTGTAAAATGGGATCAAACAGTACCCACATCTAGGGCTGACGAGAGAATTAGGACTATTGATTGGCACAAAGTAAAGACTATGTGAGTGTTGGCTATTATTATTACTAGAGAAGTCACTATTGTTTTGATCATTAATATGATTATCAATAAAAGGACAGCTCTGGGAAGCCCCTCTGCTCCTCACAAAGCTGTACTCTTCACCTCTTCTCCTGCCTGAACCGCCCACCGCAGAGCCCATTTATTTTATTATGCACGTATGTTTTTTTTTTAACTTTTTGGTTGTGCTGGGGGAGCACAGGCTCTAGAGCGAAGGCTCAGTAGTTCTGACACAGGGGTGGCACGTGGGATCTTCCCGAACCAGAGATCAAACCCAAGTCCCCTGCATTGGCAGGTGGATTCCTAGACCAGCAAAGTCCCCAGCACAGCCCATTCAGATTACAGGTTTCTACACCCCATCCTGGGTTCCCCCAGTGGCTCACTGTGGTAAAGAATCCCCCTGCCAATGCAGGAGACGTGAATTTGAGCCTGGGTTAGGAAGATTCCCCTGGGGAAAATGGCAACCCACTTCAGTATTGCTGCCTAGGAAATCCCATGGACAGAAGAGCCTGGGGGACTATAGTCCACGAACTCGCAAAGAGTCAGACATGACTGAGCAACTAAACACACACACACACACACACACACACTCACACACACAAGCCTTATCTTCCATGTCCCAGGCCATTTCTTCCATCCCTTGAACAGAGGGATCCTAAAGCTCAAGGTTCTAGCTCTCTTCTGCCCCTACTCCCAACCATTCCAGGGTTCCCTAAAGAACTTGAGGGAAAAAGACCCCTGATTAGTGCCTGGCTGACTCCAGCACTTGGGCAATTGCATTCCAAGTTCAATTCCCCTGGAAACAGGCCTTTGCCGCCTGCTGCCTCTGGGCCTCTGTATATGTTGTTCCCACTGCCTCCAGTGCTTTGCCAAAGCAGTTCACGTCTGGATAAAGCCAACTCAACCTTCAGGTCTTAGCAGAAATGTCACCCCAGGAGCATCCTCTGATCTCCAGGCTAGGTAGAGTGTTTCCTCTGGGCTCCCCAGCATCCTGGCTTCATGGTCACAGCCCTGGTCCTCCAGAGTGATAACACGATAGGGATTGAAAAATATGTGCTTTAAGAATTGCAGAGACATGGGTATATACCTATGGCCGATTTGTAAAACACTGTAAAGCAATTATCCTCCAATTAAAAATTAATTAGTTTTTTAAAAAAGGAATTGCAGTCCTAGGATTTCCCTGGTGGTTTAGTGGTAAAGAATCCACCTGCCAACGCAGGGGGCAGGGGTTCAGTTCTTATCTGGGACGATTCCATATGCTGCAGAGCGGCTAAGCCCATGCGCCACAACTACTGAGCCTGAGCTCTAGAGCCTGTGCTCCGCAACAAATCACTGCAATGAGAAGCCCGTGCACTGCAACTAGAGAGTGGCCTCTGCTCGCCGCAACTAGAGAAAGCCTGCGCCGCAACAAAGACACAGCGTAACCAAAAATAAATAGATCATTTCAAAAAGAATTGCAGGTCCTAGGGACTTCCCTCGTGTTCTAGTCATTATGAATAGGCCTTTCAATGCAGGGGACGCAGGCTCGATCCTCGGTCAGGGAACTAAGACCCCACATGACTTAAAGCAACTTAGTCCACACGTTGTAACTAGAGACAAGACCATGAAGATTCCATGTACCTCAACTAAGACTTGATGCAGCCAAAAATAAAATAAATAATTTTTGGGTTTTTTTTAAATGCAGGTCCTGGGACATTCCCTGGTGGTTTTCAGTGGTTAGGATTTGGCGCTTTCACTGCTGGAACCTTGCTTTCAAACCCTGATGGGGGAACTAAGATCCCACAAGCTGCATAGCACAGCCAAAAAAGAAAAACAAAAAACTGCAGGGTTGCCTCCTCCAGGCAGTGTGCCCTGATTGCTCCAGTCCTCACCTCAGTGGAGGTGAGTAACTCCCCCAGACTCCTGCCTTCTCCCTTCCCTTGAATTCTAGGGAGTCATCCAAGCTCACTCTACTCCAGCCATACTTCCAACACATCAGGCACAGTCCAGGCTCAGGGCTTTTGCACTGGCTGATACCTCTGCAAACTTCTCTTCTCACTAATACCCACCTGGCTCCCTCCTTTACTTCCTTCAAATCTCTGAAAGTGAATGTCACCTTTTCAGTGAGAAACTGATGACCCACTTTTAAACTGTATGCCCCTCATTCTCTAATACCCCTTTCCTCTTTTCCAGTTTAATTTTTCCCCATTGCATTCATCACCATTAGAAACACTATACATTTTACTTTTGTATTTTGCTTATTGCCTGTCTTCTCCATTAAATATGAGCTCCAGGGACTTCCCTGGTGGTCTAGTGTCTAAGACTCTGTGTTCCCAATGCAGGGGGCCCTGGGCTTGATCCCTGGTCAGGGAACTAGATCCCATGTGCCACAACTAAGAGTTTGCACGCCACAACTAAAGATCCTGCATGCTGCAACTAAGACCGAGCACAGCCAAAATAAATACACAATTTTTTTTTTAAGTGAGCTCTAGGAAGTTACAGATTTTGTCTGCCTGGCTTACCGTTGTGTGTCCAACATCCAAAACTAGTGCCAGCACACAGCAGGTGCTTGATAAATGTTTGTTGAGTGAATGAAGGCATGGCAGTATGCAAAGTTTACCCTGGCCTTCAGATATCCGGGCATGTCCACCTACCTATGCAACGTCCCCGCCCCATTCCCAGATACCTGGTCTTCTTGGCCACCTTCTCAAGGGGGACACCATGGCGGAGAGCAAGGTGGCAGAGGTGCAAAAGGGCCATGCCCAGGCTCTCATTCTGGAAGTGGTGGATCTCCTCCTCGCTAGACAGCTCCCATAGTGATGCCACATCATTTACAAACTCATACTTGCCCTGGGGATGGGGAACCAGGCAGAAAGGGAGGTGTGAGAACCTGTTCACTCCCCAGCTTCCGATTACTTTCAGGAAGGGAGGGACTCCATATGCATGCCTCATCGGCCCAATCCTATGCCTGTGGCAGACATCACTAATCAACCACAGTACTCTCACCCCTGCAACCCTAAGAGTCCACAACCCTTTTGTTCAGGCAGCCAAACCTTGCTTTCAAACCCTGATGGGGGAACTAAGATCCCACAAGCTGCATAGCACAGCCAAAAAAGAAAAACAAAAAACTGCAGGGTTGCCTCCTCCAGGCAGTGTGCCCTGATTGCTCCAGTCCTCACCTCAGTGGAGGTGAGTAACTCCCCCAGACTCCTGCCTTCTCCCTTCCCTTGAATTCTAGGGAGTCATCCAAGCTCACTCTACTCCAGCCATACTTCCAACACATCAGGCACAGCCCAGGCTCAGGGCTTTTGCACTGGCTGATACCTCTGCAAACTTCTCTTCTCACTAATACCCACCTGGCTCCCTCCTTTACTTCCTTCAAATCTCTGAAAGTGAATGTCACCTTTTCAGTGAGAAACTGATGACCCAGTTTTAAACTGTATGCCCCTCATTCTCTAATACCCCCTTCCTCTTTTCCAGTTTAATTTTTCCCCATTGCATTCGTCACCATCAGAAACACTATACATTTTACTTTTGTATTTTGCTTATCGCCTGTCTTCTCCATTAAATATGAGCTCCAGGGACTTCCCTGGTGGTCTAGTGTCTAAGACTCTGTGTTCCCAATGCAGGGGGCCCTGGGCTTGATCCCTGGTCAGGGAACTAGATCCCATGTGCCACAACTAAGAGTTTGCACGCCACAACTAAAGATCCTGCATGCTGCAACTAAGACCGAGCACAGCCAAGATAAATACACAATTTTTTTTTTAAGTGAGCTCTAGGAAGTTACAGATTTTGTCTGCCTGGCTTACCGTTGTGTGTCCAACATCCAAAACTAGTGCCAGCACACAGCAGGTGCTTGATAAATGTTTGTTGAGTGAATGAAGGCATGGCAGTATGCAAAGTTTACCCTGGCCTTCAGATATCCGGGCATGTCCACCTACCTATGCAACGTCCCCGCCCCATTCCCAGATACCTGGTCTTCTTGGCCACCTTCTCAAGGGGGACACCATGGCGGAGAGCAAGGTGGCAGAGGTGCAAAAGGGCCATGCCCAGGCTCTCATTCTGGAAGTGGTGGATCTCCTCCTCGCTAGACAGCTCCCATAGTGATGCCACATCATTTACAAACTCATGCTTGCCCTGGGGATGGGGAACCAGGCAGAAAGGGAGGTGTGAGAACCTGTTCACTCCCCAGCTTCCGATTACTTTCAGGAAGGGAGGGACTCCATATGCATGCCTCATTGGCCCAATCCTATGCCTGTGGCAGACATCACTAATCAACCACAGTACTCTCACCCCTGCAACCCTAAGAGTCCACAACCCTTTTGTTCAGGCAGCCGAAGGATCCCAGATGGCATCAGTGAAACCCACTAGCTATAGCAAATTGGGAGGGAAGTGGCAGCTCCTCAATCACCCAAGGTCCCTCACAGATAGTCACGCCTCCCCAGCCCTGCTCACACCTGCTCAAAGAGGTACTCAAAGGAGGCAGGGTCCAGGAGTTGCACTCCCTGCTCTGCCTGTTCTGAGGAAGTCTCGGACCCTGGGGGCCCGCAGCGGTACACAGCCGGCTCCTGAGGATTCGTGCCATGCCAGTTTCGGAAATAAAACCTGCAGGAAAGGAGAGGGTGCAGTCAGGGTTTAGCATGGATTCAGGCCAAGTCTTGGCAGGTGGGGACAAGGGATAGAGGGGAGAGGACAAAAGCCTTCTAAGGGGACTTTGCCCACCTCATGCGGAAGTGCAGCGTCAGGCTGGAGTCCCTGGAGGTATCCAGGATGTGATTTGGAGGCAGCCAGACCTGGGCCTGGGCATCGAAGAGGGCAAAAAGATTGAAGCAGGGTGGACTGATGCCTGCACAGGGGAGAAATGAGTCAGGAAGTTGATGTCTGCTGCCATTAGCCTCGTGGACTCCTAGACCTGCTGTCTCCCTTCACAACCTGTCCCTGGCCTCCTCCCCTGCCAAAAGAAGACAATGCAATATGTAGACCATGCTGGCCACACAGAAAAACTACATTTCCCAGTCTCCCTTGCAGCTAGGATGAGGGTATTGGACAGTTTTTTGGCCAATGGGATGTGGACAGAAGGAATATATGTTTTCTAGGTCTAGAGATAAACTCTCTTGTCCTCTTCCCTACTGGGGGAATGTTGGAGACCCCTCATGCGTAGTGGTGAGACTGCAAGATAGAGGGGAACCATTTGACCAGCATTAAACACTAGGGCATCAGCATTAAATGCTTACATCTGTTGGCTCAGATGGTAAAGAATCTGACTGCAATGTGGAAGACCCAGGTTCGATCCCTGGCTCGGGAAGATGCCCTGGAGAAGGGAATGGCTACCCACTCCAGTACTCTTGCCTGGAGACTTCCATGGGCAGAGGGCCCTGGTAGACTACAGTCCATGGGGTCGCAGAGAGTCAGACATGTTTAAGCAACTAACACTTTCACTATAAGATTTAAGGTAAATTCTCACCGTCTTGACCCAGGAGAATTTGGAGGATGCTGCTTTTGACTGCAGCAAACCTAGCACAGACTTACTAACACAGCTCTTCATGCTGCTGGCACTTTGCCTGTCTCTCTTGGAACTCCAGCCCCAGAGAAAGAGCCAACTACCCTTGGCTGTCATCCTGTAGATATCTCTGGCCCCGAGATGTGCTTTGTTACAGACAGATCTCATCTGAGGTCCCCAAACCTGCCCCCTCTCAGCTTAGTTCTCTAAGCCAGGATTTCATCTTTGTCCCTAACTCATCCCACCCCCTCAAAATCAGATTGGTCACAAGTCCTGTTCTTTCTGCACCCTTCATTCTCTCTAGGATCCACCCACTTCCTTCAAATACAAAACCCAGTCCCAGTTCAGCCTCCAGATTTGTTGTCATTCCCCATACTGGCCACCCAAGCATCTTTTTTAATACATATGTCACTTAAAAACTGTATCTAAAATAGTTCTCTTGGAATAATTTATAATCACCTAAGTACCAGCCTGGAGAAGGCAAGGGCACCCCACTCCAGTACTCTTGCCTGGAAAATCCCATGGACAGAGGAGCCTGGCAGGTTTCAGTCCATGGGGTCGCTGAGAGTCGGACATGACTGAGCGACTTTGCTTTCACTTTTCACTTTCGTGCATTGGAGAAGGAAATGGCATCCCACTCCAGTGTTCTTGCCTGGAGAATCCCAGGGACGGGGGAGCCTGGTGGGCTGCCGTCTATGGGGTCGCACAAAGCCGGACACGACTGAAGCGACTTAGCAGCAGCAGCAGCAGCAAGTACCAGCCACTAAAGAAATAAAACTTGGCAAGTCCGAATGAAACCCTCACCTACATCCACCTCCTCTCCCCTATCACAAAGAGGTACCCATACTCCTGAACTAGAGTTTATCATTTTCATATTTTCTATGACCTAGTTTTAAATGCTATAAACTTGAATGTGGTATTATATCATAGGTGTCCTTAAGCAATTTGTTTTTTCAGGCTATGATAGCTTTTAAGCTTCACATGTGATACATGTAACTTTGGTTGAATTTCTTTTTCCTGGCTGCATACTATTCCAGCATTCAACCACACTGCAACTGATCTGTGCATTCTCCTCTACACAGACTTTGAGATGGCCTCTTATTTCTCAGTAAGATAAATGAGGCTGCTCTGAACATTCTCGTGTGTGTCTCCTGGAACACATGAGCCAAGTGTTTGTAGAGTGCGTATCTAGGAGCGGAACTGTGTGCCCTCAGGGAATGTATTCAGATTATATGATGCCAAATTGCTCTACAAAAATCACTGCATCCAGGAATTCCCCAGAAGTCCAATGGTTAGGACTTGGTGCTTTCACTGCTGAGGACCCAGATTCAACCCCTGGTTGGGGAACTAAGATCCCACAAGCCACATGCACAGCCAAAAAAAAAAAAATCGTTACATCCAAGTGTACTGCACCCCAAAGAAGGAGCACGCCTCCCTGTGAGACAGCTTCCTAAAGAACCAATCTGTGGGCCTTCCCTGGTGGTCCAGTGGTTAAGAATCCATTTTCCAATGCAGGGGATGCAGATTCAATCTCTGGTCTGGGAATTATGGTCCCACATGCCCATAGGGCAACTAAGCCCATAAGCCACAAGTGAGGAGCTCCTACACCGCAGCAAAGATCTGATGCAGCCAATAAATAAATATTTAAAATAAAAACAAAAGACAAATGTTAGAGGAAGATATTCTTTGAAAAAAAAAAGAACCAATCTATTTCACTCTCTGGCTTAAACCTTCCATGGCCCCCCCTTTACCCCATAAGAAAGCTCAACCCCCTCAGCAATGAACAACCATGACCTGGACCCAGACAGTCATGCTCTGCTTTGAATTTCTAGTTTCTCTTCTAAATTCTTGAAACTGATGCTCCAGTTACTCTTAAGATCTTTTGCTTCCTCAAACAGATCAGGTTCTCTGGGACCTTCACCAGGCATGATTCACACACCGAGCAAACCTGTCTGACTTCTTTACGGTCAGAGACTTCCCTAGTGGTCCAGTGGCTAAGCCTCTGTGCTCCCAATGCAGGAGGGCCAGGTTCTATCCCTGGTCAGAGAACTAGATCGAACATGTTGCAACTAAAGATCTCAAGTGCCGCAACTAAGACCTGGTGCAGTCAATAATTTATTTATTTATTATTGGAAAATAAAGTATTGCCATCAGTGGAAAAGTACAAAGTGTTATAGAAATCTACCAGAAAGCCCCCATTCAGTTGTGGGGCAGGGGAGTTGACAGGATGTCCTGGAGGAAGGGGTAGGTAAGTGAAGTCCACTTGAAGATGCCCTCTCCTCCTCTGGCAGAAGACATTAGACTTCCGAGCACATCCACTGCAAGCTCTCATGACCATTCCATGTTTCCCTACTGCTCCTGGGAAAAAGTCTAAACTCTATAGACTCTCCCTCTGGGGTTTAAGGCCCTTAAGCTTTAAGGTTTAAGACCTGACTCTGGCTGACCTCTCACCCATCATCCCCCTTCCTGGAGTTCCTTGCTCCTAACCTCACCCACCACACTCTGCTCCTGCCACAATAGCCAGAGCATCTTTGATGCTTGAGTCCAACCATGTTCCTCCTTTGCTCACAGTCCTCCATGGCTCCCACCTCATTTGCAGTAAAATTTGAAGTCTTCCTTGAGGCCCCAAAGGCTCTGCACAAGCAGCACCATCACCTGTTCACCCTCACCTATCCCTGTCTCCCCTTCACTCACTAGGCTACAGCCACACTGGCCTCCTCACAGTTACCAGCAAGTTCCCACCTCAGGGCCTTTGCACTTGCTGTTCTCACTGCCAGATGTCCCTGTGGCTTGCTCCCTTATCTCCTCAAGTTTTAAATCTTTTTTTTTTGGCTGCACCATGTGACTTGTGGCATCTTCGTTCCCAGTCAGGGATCAAACCCTGGCTCTCATCCCCACAGTGGAAGTTCAGAGTATTAACCTCTGGACCACCAGGCAAGTCCCCAAGTGTTAAATCTTTTACCATCATCTCTAGCCTTCTATTCAGTTTCCTTATTTATTGCATTTCTTGATGAACCCTATAAGAATTCAGCTGCAATGCAAGAGACCTAGGTTCGATCCCTGGGTTGGGATGATCCCCTGGAGAAGGGAATGGCAACCCACTGAAGTATTCTTGCCTGGGAAATCCCATGGACAGAGGAGCCCGGCAGGCTACAGTCCATGGGGCTGCAAAGAGTTGGACACAACGGAGCAACTAACACTTTCGCTTTCATTAGAATATCAGCTTTTTACAAAGCTGATTGCAAATTACAGAGACAGTAATTGGGGACTGGCACACAGAAGGTGCTCACTCAACGCGGGCTGCGTGAACGGGCAGACAACTGGATGAATGGGGCCCAGTGGCTGCTGGCACCTCCACCCCGCTATGGAGCCGATGGCCGGGACTCACCGACTTTGTGTGCGATGTGGATGCAGACGTCCTCTGCGGTCAGTGTGGCCTCAGTGAAGGTGACCCAGGGCTCCCCACCACTGGGGCCAGCCCAGTGCAGAAGCACTTTCAGGCCCCCTCTGCTGGCCATGGGCTGAGCTTCGTCCCCACCGGGCTTCCTGCCCCTGGTGGCGGCCCTCCATTGGCACAGAGGCATGTTCTTGACAGCCGGCCTGCCTGCAAAGGAACACCCCCAGGCCTCAGCGTTGAGGGCCCTTTTTAGTACCTCAACCTTCCCACCTTCCAGACTGAAGGGAAAGATTTGGGACCTCTCACTGTGCAAACTTAGGCATCCAATTCCCCTTCATGGTCCTCAGTTTCCACATCTGTTTGATGGAGCTGGGGTATGCAACACCCTCCCCCCACACAGCATCAGTCATGAACAGCACCACCACCAACCCCTTTACTGGACAAATTCACCAATACAAGTCTGCCCTGAACCCACCTTTCCAAAATAACCTGGGTGGACAGACAGACCTGGGGGTGAATCCTGTGTCAACTCAGGTGCAAGTCACTTCGTCATGTTGGGCCTCAGTCTCCCCATCTGGAAAATAGACATGCTGAGAGTGTTGCCATGAAGAGACGGTTGTGACGTTTCTACATTCCTTCTAAAGGAACTTTTAAACTAGAGTTGTAAGGGAATGATGCACTACTGTTACCATATTGTGAGCAGGTGAGGACTCACTATTGCCATTTTGTTGTTTTCTGGTTGCTTTGTAGACAGGTTCTTCCTTGTTTCTTATCCTGCTGTCTGTCTTTGTGTTTGGATGAAATTACTAGAGGATTTTTCCCTTGTGGTTACCCTAAGTTTAATAAGTTTAAGATGTGTCATGAGACTTACAAAACATACCTCACACTGACAATACCCTCTTTTAAGCTAACAGCTTCCCTTTAGTAGAATTTGTAAACTTTACATTTCTAATTCTCCACCTCACATTATTTTTATATTGTGTAACTAAATCGGATGATTGTAGTTATCGTTATTTTTTCTACGTTTTTTTAAAACGAGTTATAAATCAATTAGGTTGTGATGTTTCAACACAGTTCTGCATGTTATACATTAAGACTCTTGATACAGGCATGACCAAATAACAAATGTGATAAAGCCAAGAATGAAGTCATCATCATTAATTTTATAATCATAGTCGTTTCTCTCTTTCAGCCAATATTCCTGCCTCCCACATCTACCCCTACTAGTGACCCCGGTCCCTGCTGGCTCCCTGAGCGGCGGAGGGGTTCTGTTCAGCTCTTTTCCCAACAATCTGGAACTTTTTGAGTGACAGACCCAGGGTCCAGGCTTCCTGAGGTCTCCAAGTATTTCCAGAGAAGGACTGTTGGCAATTAGAGCGACTTTACTCATTTAAGACCGTGATGAGGGAAAAACAGAATATCACAATTGCATAATGCCGGATTTCTCAGGAATCAACTTCTCTCGGAGCCTGTTTCCTCATTTGGAAAATAGGCATAAAACAGTCTCTCTCTCTCAAAGGGTTGTTGGGAGGATTCAATGTGCCTGAAGCAGAGAAAAGGCTCCGCGAGGGGCCTGGCAAACGCTCGGTAAGTGTTCGCAAAGTCGGACACGACTGACTACTGAACAACAACAAATGTTTATCTTTGAGATAAGACCCTAGGGATCGGGCTTTTGTAGTGGTCACCTCCTCCTTCCTCATCCCCACTGGGCACAGATCTAGCTCTGAAGATGAGGTCTAAACCAGGTCCGCAGCCCCCAACCCCTAAGCACCCCCACCTCCCCGCCAGAAACCTCCAAACCCTGCTGGCAGGAACCGCGCTGTGTACCCACCCGGCACCGACCACTCACAAGGCAGTGTGGGGGCTTCTAACCACCTCCTGCAAAGGGCAGTTCCGCCAGCTGCATCCTTCCTGAAGATCTCCCGGGCGCGCTCCCTCGCGCCCCCTTCCAGACTCGCCCTTTCCCCGGAACTCGCTACAAGCCCGGACCCCGCCCCACCGCCCGGGGCAGCGGCCTCCGGATCGGCCCTGGAACAGCACCTCCCATTGGTCGCCTGAAACGGGCACATTCATTGGTCGCTGTCCTGCTCCGCCCCTTCACTACTACGGAGGCTACCCTATTGGTTCAGGCTTCAAGTTCGCTCAACCCGGGGCGGGAGAGGGAGGACTCTCTGCGGCGCCGAGACTTCAGTTACCCACGCAGGTGTGGATCCAAGCAAGTCAGGCTTCCAGCCCTTACCCTGGTGCAAGGTCAGATCGTCATCTCGGCGATCAAGGTTGCAGCTGGCTGCCATTCAATCCTCCAACCCCGCTGCCGTGTGGCCCTACATTCCGTCCTGCCTCTCCTCCCTGTCTGCGTGGCCAGCCCTGATTCTCGGAGCTGAGACACCCCACCAACCACCCTCACCCCCGCCTTCTGGAGGAGGCATTCAGGGCCCACCAGCTCACATTCCTTTTCTGATCATCCATAGCCCTGACCCTGGGAAAGATTGAGGGCAAGAGCAGAAGGGGGCGACAGGATGAGATGGTCGGATGGCATCACTGACTCAATAGACATGAGTTTGAGCAAACACTGAGAGATAGTTAAGGACAGGAAAGCCTGGGGTGGCAGAGTGACTGAAGAACAACAACAAAATCCTGTTCTCTGAGTCTTCTTTGCTCAAGGTAGCAGCTTGGGCGTCCCACCTGATCCAAGTTCTGATCCCTGCAAAACAAGTCGCTGCTATTTACATTCGCAGAGAAGGCTGTGCACTCAGCGTTTCATACGCATTATTTCATTTTGTTGCAGGAAGAGGGACCCCTTCCAGGGCCTGAAAGTGGGCTCTTGTCTAACACTTGGAAGTGAATTACCAAGGAGACACATGTACTGACAAAGCAACAGACATCATTGGAAAGGGGTGCCTGGGGGGAAAAGAGAGCAGCAGAGCAAGGGAACCCAGGAGAACTGCTCTGCTGCATGGCTCTCAGTCTTGGGTTTTATGGTGATGGGGTTAGTTTCTGGGTTGTCTCTGGCCAATCATTCTGACTCAGAGTCCTTCCTGGTGGTGCGTTCATGGATCAGCCTAGATGAATTCCAGCAAGGATTCTGGGAGGTGGTCGGAGTACGTATTGGCATTTTCTCTCTCCTTTTGACCTTTCCCGATTTCTTTCTGGTTGGTAGTAGTTGGTTAGTTCTGCATTTTACCAGAATTTTGGTAGTTTGTTAGTTCTGCATTCCTCCTGTTGTAAGATAACTCACTCAAGTAGTTACTATAAAGCCTGGCCAGGGCAGCAGGTTTCAGTCAGTGGGTTCCCCTAACAATTTGATGTTAGCAGTAGTCCTCTGGCATCTCTTATCCCCATTTCTCAGAGAAAGAAACCGAGGTACAGAGAGGTGACGAAGACTCTTTCCTTGCCCAAACTTTAGTTCTCTGAGCCTTCTTCTGTTTTTTAAAATAATTTTATTTATTTTTATTTTTGGCTGTCCTGAGTCTTCGTTGCCAGGCTTTTCCCTAGTTGCACCTCGTTGCCCCTAGTTCCCTAGTAGCCCCTAGGGCAGGGGCTACTCTCTAGTTGTGGTGTGCGGGCTTCTCATTGCTGTGGCTTCTCTTGCTGTGGAACACAGGCTCTAGAGTGCTTGGGTTTCAGTAGCTGCGGCTCTGGCCCCTAGAGCACCGGCTCAATAGTTGTGCTGCTTGGGTTTGGTTGCTCTGTGACAAGTGGGATCTTCCCAGACCAGGGATCAAACCTTAATCTCCTGCATTGGTAGATGGATTCTTTACCCCTAAGCTACCAGGGAAGCCCTGAGCCTTCTTCTTGACTACCCCTCAACCTTGGCCCCGGTCCTGTCTTTGTCCTGCACAGTCATCCCCCGACCCCTAATATCTGATCAGGTTTCTCAGTCTCCACCATTGATGGATAAATATTCGTCCTCTCTTTAGCAAGAATCCTGTGAGGTCAGTTTAGCAAGAATCCCCCTACCCCTATTTTTTTTAAGGTTTATTTATTCATTTATTTATTTTCTTTTTGGGATCAGCTAAGGATTGCCCTTGCTGCTCGGGCTTCTCACAGTGGTGGCTCCTCTTATTGGGGAGCACTGACTCTAGGTGTTCTGACTTCAGTAGTCACAGCACGTGGGCTTCAGTAGTTGAAGCTCTTGGGCTGTAAGCACTGACTGAGCAGTTGTGGCATACTGGCTTAGTTGCTCTGCACCATTTAGGATCTTCCCGGACTGAGGATCGAACCCGTGTCCCTTGCATTCCAAGGTGGATTCCACTGTACCACCAGGGAATCTCCCGTCCCACCCTCCCCCTGTCACACCCTCATTCTGCTCTTTGCCTGGCAATCCCCAGATGTCTTTGCTGCATTCAGAGTTGAGCCCAATGCTCTCCCCTTTTGCAGTCCCCCATTGCAGTTGTCCTGAAGAGTCTCCCTTACTGTTTTGTGAGTCAAAAATATTGCCTGCCATATCAATAAACAAAGGATATTGCAGTCATCCAACCATCACATTGAGTAGGAGCTAGATGGGCCTCAGGGTAAACAGCTGGTTTCTCCTCTGTGGATGGATACTCCAAATTAGCAGGAGACAGAAGAGCTAAGCTTTGCCCAGGTAAAAGACAGAGACCACATATTTCTCATTCTCCAAGTCATGGATGGTGACTGCAGCCATGAAATTAAAAGATGCTCCTTGGAAGAAAAGCTATGACAAACCTAGAGAGTGAATTAAAAATCAGAGATACCACCTTGCAGACAAAAGTTCCTTATAGTCAAAGCTATGGTTTTTCCAGTAGTCATGTATGGATGTGAGAGTTGGACCATTTAAGGCTGAGCGCTGAAGAACTGATGCTTTTGAACTGTGGTGCTGGAGAAGACTCTTGAGAGTCCCTTGGACAGCAAGGAGATCAAACCAGTCAATCCTAAAGGAAATCTATAAGGGCGTGACTCTGTCTCTGAGCCTGCCTATGTGTCTATCCACACATACTCTTTTTCCTTCCTAATAATCACTACTTGTTTCACTACTTCCTATCTCTATGTGGACATTCATTTCTACACAGCTGACAGGTCAGGGCCTGATGGTCTTAGTGGTGAGAATTCAGCATTCTCACTGCCTCAGGCTGACTTCAATCTCTGGCAGGGGAACTGAAACCCTGCTTCAAACCGCTGCAGGTCGAGGCTACCAGAGATCAGTGTTACAGCCGCACAGATGGTGAGCCCCGAGGGAACTCAGGATAGAAACAGGATGCCCACCATCCACCTGTCAGTCACTGCTAAGTCACTTCAATCATGTCCAACTCTTTGCGACCCTGAAGACTGTAGCCCACCTGGCTCCTCTGTCCATGGGTTTCCCCAGTTAAGAATACTGGAGTGGGTTACCATGCCCTCCTCCGGGGGATCTTCCTGACCCAGGAATCAAACCCAAACCTCTTACGTCTCCTGCACAGACAGGTGGGTTCTTTTCCACGAACGGCACCTAGGAAGTCACTGCAGCCACCCTTGCAGAGATGCACCGTGAGGAGACTCAGGATGAGAAAGCACAGGTCAGCCGAGGTGCCTGTCAAAGGAATGATTTCAGTGAGCTCACACTCTTGCCTCTTCCCATGCATAGAAAAGCACTAAACTCTTTAACGTGAGATATCTGATTTTCTTTAATTAACAATAACCTTGTTGTAAAAGCTTGAATATATCCTGGCTCCCCCCTTGCCTCTTCACAGCGATCTCTCAGAGTTATCTGAGATGCTGTGTCCCAGACTTCAGTCCTCAGTTTTGTCTGCCGAATAAAATATAACTCTCAACTGTTAGGTTGTGCTTTTTTTTCTTCCCCAGCTGACAGTTTGTTTTTAATTGGAGTAGAGTTGCTTGACAGTATTAAGTTTCTGCTGTACAGAAAGTGAATGTTGTGCAGATACATATATTCCCTCTTTTTTTAGGTTTCCTTCCCGTTTAGGTCACCACAGAGCATTGACTAGAGTTGTCTGTGCTCTATAGTAGGTTCTTGTTATTTATCTATCAATGACTAATTCCAATTTCCCAATTCATCCTACCCCCTTTACCCCCTTGGTATCCATAAGTTTATTTTCTACATCTGTGTCTCTATTTCTGCTTTGAAAATAAGTTCATCTGTACCATTTATGACAAGGGCAGAGTAAAGGGACAAAGTAGGTGATTAAATAGTTAATCCCACTAGGGGATTGTAAGTAGGAAAAAATATGGGAGACCCCAGTATGTTAATGGTCACTTAAGAAAACAGGTTTACTTAACCACAAAACCAAGCAGGCTTGTTTAACAACAAAGCATGCAGTACAAACAGGAGGCAAGCTCCAGAACAGTAAAACAATGGCAGTGTGAGACCCACATCCTTCCCAGGGAGCTCAGCAAGTTCTAGGACATGCTTTCTGCACACATGAAAACAATAATTTATGGGAAAGTGACATTTCAAAGTAAATATCCTCATTGTACTGAAACCTGAAATAATTTTTCCATTATGTTATGACTTTCAGCTTAACCATGTGGGGACAAGAAACCATCCCTACCCAATCTGGAGGAGGAGCTCATGATCAAAGCACAACATCTACTCAAGAATGAGGAAGTGGGACTTTGCTGGTGGTCCAATGGGTAAGACTCTGCACTCCCAATGCATTGGGCCCAGGTTCAATCCCTGGTTGGAGAACTAGATCCTGGGTGCTGCAACTAAAAGGGCCTGTGTGTGGCAACTAAGAGCAGGCGCAGTTGAATAAATACATAAGTTAAAAATAATAATAATAACAAATATATGATTTTAAAAAAGAATGAGGAAGAAAGCGGTCTTTCCCCTCTCCCCACTTTTCCTTTGATTATAAAACTGTAGCCCACTAAGATGAGGGGCTTAGCACCCTCTCACCTGCCCACTGGTACGCCTTGTAAGGATGCTTGTAAGCATCCTATTCTAATAAATCACTTGGTATCCATCACTCCGACTCTCACTGAATTCTTTTCTGCCCTGAGACATAAAGGAGGATTG